AAGGCATTCGGCTGTTAACCAAAAGGTCCATAGAACTCACCAGCTGCTCTGCAGGGAAAGATAAGGTAGTTAGCGTCTGTAAAGATTTACAGCCTTGGAAACCCTATTAGGTCACCTGGAGTCAGAATTGATGGCAATGGGTTTGGTTTGGTTTGTTTCTTGAGGATTTCTGAACATAACCCCATGATCATCTCAACTGACCCAGAAAGGTCATCTGACAAAATCCAGCACTCATTCCTGATAAAAATGCTGAACAAAACAGGATTAGAAGATAAAGTCCTCAACAAAATTAAGGGTATATACAAAACCAATGGCCAATATTTTTCTCAATGAGGAGAGACTAAAAGCATTCTCCTTATGAATGGGACCAGACAAGCATGCTCTTTATCATCATCCTTATTCAGCATGGTATTGGAAGTCCTAGCTAGAGCAATAAGGCAAAAAATGGAAATAAAAGGCATCTAAATTGGCAAAAACCAAAACCAAACTCAGTGCTATTGAGCTGATTCTTGACTCACAGTGACCCCCATTGGGTTTCCAGGGCTGTATATCTTTACAGAAGCAGCCTGCCTCATCTCCCTTTTGTGGAGTGCCTGTTGGCTTCGAATCACTGACCTTTTGGTTAACAGTCAAATGTCTTCGTCATTCCACCACCAGAGCTCCTAAATGGGCAGAGAAGAAGTAAAACTATATTTGCAAATGATATGATCTTATACTTTAAATATCCCAAAGACTCAGTAAGAAAATTACTGGAACTAATTGACAGCTTTAGCAAAGTGGCAGGGTACAATTTACAATAACCATCTCTGATGGCTATGTTTGTGTGTCAACTTGGCTGGGCTTGGTTGAGTGGCTGGGCAGCTGGTGGTAGTATTCCCCATGAGATTGGTAATCAACTCCATGGTGGGATCTACCCCGAGTCTTACTGGTTGTCCCTTGTATGTAACTTTTTGTTTTTCCCATACTGCTCTCATGATTTTTTCTTTGTCTTTGGTTTTGGTGAATTTGATGATGATATGTCTTGGTGATTTTGTTTTGGGGTCTATCCTGTTTGGGGTTCATTGGATGTCCTGAATGGACATATTTTCATCTTTCATCATACCAGGAAAATTCTCTTCCAACAAATTTTTTGACAATTTTCTCTGTGGTTTTATCTGTCTCTTCCTGTTCTGGAATTCCAATTACACGTAGATTACTCCTTTTGATGGTATCCCACATGAACCTTAGGCTTTCTTCATTTTGTCCTGATCTTTTTTCTGGTTAATCCCTTTCCAAAGAAGTGTTCAGGTATTTGCCTTCAATCTAACCAATTCTGTCTTCCACTGATTCAATTCTGCCCATTCAATGTCTTATCTATGTCTGAAAATTTAGTATTAATCTTCTGGATTTCTGTCTGTAGCCTTTATATCATTTCTACTTTTCCATTTATTTTGTCATTTTGTTCTTGTATTGTCTTTTGAAATTGTTCTAGGGTTTTCTCTGTGTTTTACTTCCTCTGGGTTTTCGTTGAAGATACCTAAATATAATTCTTTTGAATTCCTTATCAGGGAGTTCCAATGCTATATCTTACTCAGGGATATGTTTTGGGTCTGCATCCTGGTCCCTTGTTTCTCCTGCTTTATCTTGCTTCTTTGTGTGGACTGTGATGCTCTGTTGTCTCTGAGGCATTGTGACGTTGTTGTGTTTATATTTTATTGGTGATTGTATGTTGGAGTGACTTGCCCATGATTTTCGTTTTCTTATGAGTCAGGGTCGACTCGACGGCACATAACAACAACAACAACAACATATGTTATCTACACAAACAGGGTACTCCGGTATACTCCTCTATTCACTAGTTGACAGGACTTATATATTCACCACCTATCTCCTTTCCTGTTGTCAGCCTCTTATATGGCCATGCCGACCTTGGCAAACAGAGCCTATTCCTAGGTCCCTGGAATCCAAATGAGAATGCTATCACTTTAAAACCCCAAATGGTTGCCACTTTTAAAGATTCAAAATGGCTGCGTCCTTGGTCACTTTAAATATCCAAAATGGTCACCATCTGTAAACATTCAAAATGACTGTGCCCTCAGTCACTTTAAATATTCAAAATGGCCGCTGCATGTAAACAATAAAAAATGGCTGCACCCTCTGGACAGCAAAAAGTCAACAGCTCAGGTTGTCTCTCTTCTTGATGTTTCCCTTCCTAGTCAAAGGCCACCAGTGCAGTTGTCCCTACAGCCCTTGGTGACCAGGGCTGATCTTTAGGTCAACCTTCAGGTCCCAACACCACTTGGAAATATTCAGGCTGTTGGTCCTGTCAGGGTAGCTGACAGTATGCAGCTCTGACCATCTCTGTACTCACAGTTTTCATTCAGGTTTTTCCACTGATTGGTGCCTAATCCACTTCTGTATTTGTTTTTGTTGTTATGTACCATCAAGTCAGACCTAACTCATAGCGACCCCTTCCTTGGGTTTCCGAGGTAGTATCACTACGGAAGTAGATTGCCCAACCTTCTTTCTGAGGAATGGCTGACACTTCTGTACAGTTCCTTTCACTTCTGTATAGTTCCTTTCAAAGCTCAGGGCTCCAGGATTATCTTCTGTATCTCTGTCAATTGGTTTTTCTTTTCTTTGTTAAAGAGGGTCTGTGGTTGCTTGTCCCCCTAATGCTCCATCTTACCAGAAGTGGCTGGTGGGTTCTAACCGCTGACCTTTTTGTTAACGGCCAAATGCCTTAACCACTAAAACAATGAGATCATCATCTCAGTCCAGCAATAAGAGCAAAGTTAAAAAAAAAAATCAGACGACAACAAATGCTGGTGGGGGTGTGGTGAGACTGGAATCCTCATACACTGGTGGTGTGACTGTAAAATGGTATAACCACTGTGGAAAACGGCATGGTGCTTTCTTATAAAGCTGGAAATACAAATCCCATATGATCCAGAAATCTCACTACTAGGTAGATATCCTAGAGAAGTAAAAGCTGTGACATGAACAGATATATACACACCCATGTTGACCACAGTACTATGCACAATAGCAAAAGATGGAAACAACCTAAATGCCCATCAATGGAGGAACCGATCAATAAACTATGGTACAGACACATAATGGAATGTTCCTATGCTATGTTAAAGAACAATGATGAATCTGCAAAATATCTCATAACATGGATGAACTTAAGAACAAACTGCACAAGAATACTGTAAAAAGTTAAGAAAAGGGTTTGACATGGAAAGAAATATTCTTTGATGGTTACCAGGAGCGGGTGGGGAAAGGAGGGTAAACCACTAACTACATGGCAGACAAATATTAATTTGATTAAAATTTTATATTAAAAAAAAAGAGAAAAAAGAATAAGCTTGTTTTTGAGTGCATTAAAATTCTCTCTTAATTTTGTCATTCAATAGCTATTAAATGGCTACTAAATGGAGCCCTGGGAGCTCTGGTAGCATAGTGGCTAAGGCACTTGACTGCTAACCAGAAGGCAGGCGGTTCAAACCCACCAGCCACTCCTCGGAAGGAAGGTTGGGCAATCCTACTTCCGTAGTGATACTGCCTCGGAAACCCAAGGAGGGGTCGCTATGAGTCGGGGCCGACTCGACGGCAAACAACAACAACAACAACAACAACAAAATGGAGCCCTGGTGGTATAGTAAATAAGGAATTTGGCTGCTAATCATAAGGTTGGTGGTTTGAAACCACCAGCTGCTCTGCAGAAGAAAGATGGGGCGGTTTCCTTCTGTAAAGATTTACAGCCTTGGAAACCCAGTGGGATTCATTACAAGACAGAAAAGACTCGATGGCAGAGAGTTTGGTTTTTTTTTTTTTGGGATTGAAATGCTAGGTAAATGACCTTTCTCCTTAGAACAGCCATGGAACTGGAAAA